GATAGATAGATAGATAGATAGATAGATAGATAGATAGATAGATAGATAGATAGATAGATAGATAGATAGATAGATAGGTAGGCAGGCAGGCAGCTGGCTGAGTGGTTAGAGCTTCAATGCAAGAGTTGGGGGTTTGATTCCACCAGTAGTCACATGACGAATTGTCCCTGGGCAAGACACTGAACCCCTCATTGCCTCCGATGTGTGTCCCATCGGTTTATGAATGAGATCTAAAGCAGTGATTAGTTTTTGTAAATGTATAGTAGAGTGCTGTATGAATGGGTAAATGAGGGCACATGTTGTGGTGTAAAGTGTTTTTAGTATCTTGATAAGATAGAAAGGTGCTATATAAGTGCAGTCCATTTACCACTTGGATGAGGCCCCTGTTTAAAAGAAACCTATATTTGACAAGAATTGGACATTTTATTCCAAAAACTGCCTTTAATATGAACGAATTTGCAGCTTTTATACTGAAAATTGGCATTAGGGATAACATGAACAGTATGTGTGCACATAAATATTCAGTGTGTGCATGCATGTTTTTGTGTACCTTTCCTTCATACATCTGAACAAATGTGGAACTGAGCCCACATGAGATACCTTCTCTGACACGCCTTCATTTAAATATGCAAACAGATGCAGATATGTCCTGTTTGTGTGAGACTCCTCTTTTCACGATAATAACCCCTCAGAACTGTTGAACTGATGTATCTGACAGGAACAGGACCGTGTTCTCCTCCAAAACCTCCAGCTGCTGGTCTCCTCAGCTCCTACATGGTTATAGATTTTTGTTCATAAATGAGATGATTCACACTGGAAACCCTAACCCAACTATTTTGAGATAAGTTGCTGTCATAAAATTCAGAATTACAAGTTATTATAATAACTTTTTTGTACATATATTTTTTTCTCATGTATACAATGGAAACCCTTTGATACCGGCTGTTTACCTATTTAAGTACATCCAACTAAATTTACATACTATTATACCAGATTAACAAATATATGCAGATGCATGCAAAAAACTGTGTATGAAAAGAAGTGCATTAAACTGAATTATATTAGCTGCATATTAATAATAAAAACAGCCTTGAGTTTCACTTGTTTGTGGATGTAGTTTAGATATGATTTGGTGCACGTTTAGATGTTAAAATAAAAAAGATTTAAACACATTGTTGTTGTTTTTAGTTGATTTCCACAATACAGTGTACAGTTGTATGATTTTTTTTTTTAATCATGTAAAAAATGCAGCAAAGTTGTTTAAATAATGCTTTGTTGTACAAATGGGCAACAACAAACAACAAAAAATGGTCATTTGGATTTTTTTAATTAAACAGAGCAGATATAACATTCTCTGAGCTGCATTTAATTAAATAAAAAATAATAATCATGCAAGGGCAGCACGATGGCGCAACTGGTAGAGCTGCTGCCTCTCAGCGAGCAGGTCCCTGGTTCAAACCCCGGTCCTAGGGCCTTTCTGGGTGGAGTTTGCATGTTCTCTCCGTGCATGCGTGGGTTTTCTCCGGGTGCTCCGGTTTCCTCCCACAGACCAAAAACATGCATGTTAGGCTGATTGGTAACTCTAAATTGTCCCTAGGTGTGAATGAGAGAGTGAATGGTTGTTTGTCTCGTTTGTCTCTATGTGGCCCTGTGATGGACTTGCGACCCGTCCAGGGTGTACCCCGCCCCTCGCACAGTGATTGCTGGACATGGGCACCAGCGACCCCCGTGACCCAAAATGGAACAAACGGGTAAAGATAATGGATGGATGGATAATAATCATGCATCTGAAATACAAACATTTATATGTGAATGCTCTAAATGTCAGAGATTTGCACTTTGTCTTTGTTTTATTTGTTAGTCTCTCCTTAGCTGAGAGAAATGTTGTCATTCTTTGGTGTTGTCATTTCGTCTTTAACTTTGTCTGAATCTGTTCTCCCTGTGTTTTCATCCTTTCTCCAGATCTGTGATGATGTTGCTGCACAAGTGTTGGGGAAGTCTGTGTTTGTCAACTGGCCCCATCTAGAGGAAGCTCGCGTTGTTGCTGTTTCAGATGGAGAAACCAAGTAAGAAATATGAGACACGTGACCAGAATCATTTATTACATAGGGACTGTGAAAACATTGAATCTACATCAATCACAGTCATTCTAGATTCAAGTCAGTTCAGTTTATTTATGGTTATAACACAACAAGTCACAGCAGAAGTCATCTCAGGTCACAGTACAAAAACATTCACATAAATAAAAAAGCCATTTATTAAAAGTTCTCTATCTAAGGAAGCCAGCATATTGTGTTGAATCTTCACTTTGTCACAGTCTCCCATCTTGAGCAAGCACAAATGCAACAGTGGAAAGAAAAAACTCCCTTTTAACAGGAAGAAACCTCCAGCAGAACCAGGCTCAGGGCGAGCGGCCATCTGCTTCAGCCAGCTGGGGTTTGAGAGGAACAGGAAGGAGAAACAAACACAGAATGACAGGTCCAGATGTACCGGCACTTTCTATTGGAGGAATGACGAAAAAAACAAAACAAAAAACATGTTAAGGATAGAAATGATTACAAAAACAAACATGTAGAGCAGAGCAAGTAAAGACTGAGCGAAGAATAAGGGTCATTTTGTTAATTCCAGCTGTCTCAGCATATAGCAGCATAAGGGATAGCTCAGGAAATTCAAGCCAACCCTAACTATAGGATTTATCAAGAAGGAAAGTTTTAAGTCCAGTCTTAAAACTGGACAAGGTGTCAGCCTCATGGACAGAAACTGGAAGTTGGTTCCACAAGAGAGGAGCCTGATAACTGAAAGATCTTTCTCCCATTCTGCTTTTGGACACTATAGGAACCCCAAGTAAACATACAGTCTGACAGCAAAGTGCTCTGTTAGGAAAAATGGAACAATAAGATATGTAATATAAGATGGAGCTAGGTTGTTGAGAGCTTTGTAGGTTATGTTATGTTGGATGTCTTTTCTGGATTTGACAGGGAGCCAATGGAGAGAAGCTAAAACTGGAGATATATGATATTTCCCACTAACTCCAGTTAAAACTCTGGCAGCAGCATTTAGGTTCAACTAAAGACTTTTAAAATAATTTCTTGGACACCCAGATAATAAACCATTGCAATAGTCCAGTCTAGACGTGAGAAATGCACGAACCAGTTTTTCTGCATCGTTTTTAGATAAGACGTTTCTAATTTTAGTGATATTACGCAGGTGAAGAAGGCGGTTCTAGTAACTTTTTTTAAAATGTGGGGGATAAAAGACATGTCCTGATCAAAAATAACACCAAGATTTTTAACATCAGAGCTGGAGGCCAGATTAATGCCAAAAACTAAGGTCCAAAAACTACAGCCTCTGTCTTGTCTGAGTTTAAAAGCAGAAATTGTGATTTTGATGTGGGTTTTAAAATATCACAAATATCAAATGTGCAGTCTTTGTGTTCATATAAATCATAAGTTTGTTACACCAATCTAAACTTTGTAACCCTTCTTTGAGATTTACTTTAGACAACTTCTGGGAGTTATTGACGAGTTTTTTTCTCCCAGCTTTTGTGGTTCGTTGAACATATTTTGATAATTGACAGGTTAACGTGCAGATCACAGTGAACAGTCTATTTATATTCTCCAAGTGTTGTAAATATCATTTGTGGACATGTTTGAACTTGTGATTTCATATTGAACTGTAGGCAGCAGTGGTTAGGGCAGGTTCACACTCCATCCTTTTATTGTGGAGTTTACATGTTCTCCTCCATGCTCATGGTTTTTCACCAGCTACTCTGCTTTTCCTCCCATAGAGCAAAAACCTGCACGAGTCATTGCTACTGTAAAAAACTTGTCCCCAAGTGTGACTGAGAGTGATTGTCTCTTTTGTCTCTATCCCTGATGGACTGGGGATCTGAAAGGGTGTCCTCCTGCCTCTCACACAGCGGCTGGACTGGAGATAGACACCAGCAAGACCAGGAAAGGAGAAGAGTGTAAAAAAAAATGGATGGATAAATATTAAACTGAGGATTTTATTTAAGAGCTCATTTGAAAAAAAAAAAACTGTGCATCATATTTGGAAGACCTGCTGTAAAAATGTAGCTATGCAACATTTACTTTTTTTTTTTTTAACAACTTACAATTTACTTTTATCAGAGTCGATGTTTACTCATGTAAAACATTTGACTTGTGCTTCATTAAACCGTCAACAGAGTAAATGTACCGGTGCTTTTATTTTCGTACTCTCAAGTTTGAGTTTTTCAAAATAACTTGAAATCAACATACCTGACCAGGCTCAGCTTTCTTTATCATATCTAATAAAGTTCATAAACTTTTTTTTTTTTTACCTTACTCAGGAGAAGACCTTTGACCATTGGGTGGTGTCTGGCATTGAACCAGCAACCTTCTAATATGATAATCCTGATGTACAGTACAATAACCACAAGCTGAAGGTCTTAGACTCATAAATCCCTAACCAGAAAAATCAGTAAAAAAAAAAAATCACTGTAATGCCACTTTGTAACTTATATGTGCTGCTGATCTTATGCCTTCATCCTTGTATTCATACCCATTTGCTCACTAGACTCGTGTTCAGGCTGCTGTTTAATACACCGTATTACTTTACATTATTGTTTGGTGTATATCCTAGATCTTTATGTAGTTTTTTCTTATACTTTATATTTTTAGGTGCAACTGGGATCTTGGGAACACAATTTCGTTCCCTGATGCAAATGACAAACTCGAACCTTGAACAAGTTTGATGTTTAATGCACCTGTACAGTGAATGTAGAACGAGGAAAATGTACCTTAGTCTGTTTTATACAGCAGCACCAACTCTTTATTTGGACCGAGTCAGTGAACTGCACATCCTGAAGTTAACTTCAACGTGAGTAGAAACAACCACAGTGCATATCACAACATGACGACTTCACAAAAAGCGATATTTAACTGGAATAGTGAGTATTAGACAAGAATTAAAGAAAAAATATGAAGTCGGCAATTTGTTTGGAAATAATTTATTAAGTTTTACAAATACAAAACACCTCTCACTCAGTTATCATAAAATAGGCAGGTCTCGGTGGAGTTTCTGAATTCTTCTCCATGCGTCACCATGGAAACCCCACGTCACACAAACTGACAGCAGTTCTCCTCGTCGCTCAGTTCAGATGATACGTTTTCAGCCTACAGTACGTGAAGAGAAAGTCCAATGCTACTTTTAAAAGACCTAAAAACAGGTTCTGTGAGGTTATAACTGAAAAAGCAACAAACGGCTCAAACATGACAAAGGTTCCAGTTTCATTTAGCAGCCATGAGTTAAACGACGCTTGCTGCGGTTACGGAAAAACACGGAGACTCGTTTTGTTCCGACAGTGCTTCTGTCCTGAGCAGAAGACGATGTATACATGAGAATGAAATTCAAGCAAATTTATTAAAACTTGTTTCTTTTCCAACACAAAAACTACATAAAGGGAAAAGAAAAAGCAAGAAGTTGACAAACGGTGATGAGAACTAAAAGCTTCATGAGAAAAAAAATGCTTTTGCATGTCACGTTGGTTTGTGCTTTGGCCTTTAAAAAGAATCAAACAGGTAACATTTGGCTGGATGTACCATCAAGAAATATCTCAATTTTTTTTAAAAAGTATAAGATTTGATTCAACCTAAAACAATAAAGAGGTGTTTTATTGTAGCCGATATAATGCTGCTGCAGGAAAAAAATATATATATTTATATTTCTCCAAAGTCTTTTTTTGGCTTTATGCCCAAGCTTGGTCCTATTATTGTTGTGGTAAAACTGCAGCACATTCTCTCCTGCGATGCTGATGCTCCAGTCCAGTCTGTTCTACTGTCCAGAAAAAATAAAAGAAAAAGATGCGTGTAGCTCGAGAAAAATAAAATCTGTTTATTCAGCTCTCCCAGTGCTCAGCAGGCACCCCGAGGTCTCCCTGCATTTGAATAATCCTTCAACCACGCAGAAAGGCTGATGGTGGTTCGAACATCTGCTCAGATGAGGAGGTCCTCACTCAGACAAGCTCAAGTACCTATGAGGGAAGAAAAACACAAAGTACAACCGTGTTACTACCTCAGGCTGACTTCTGCCACGTTACTGCAACCCATCAGCTAAGAGGACTGATAAAACACAAGAACAAAGAATCAAATAAAAAACATATTCAGTTCTGTACAAATACTGATGTTTCATACTAAAGAAGTATTGAAAATTAAAATTGCAAAATATATATTTTAATCTGAAACAGGTTGTAAAATCTGCTCTTAACTTAATTAGTACTTAGTATTCTTAGTTTAGCGTATTTCTTAGTTCATATCAGATATTACTGTTTTTCTTTTACAATTTATAATTTTGTTGGATGTAACTGGGACCCTGTGTACACAATTTCGTTCCACCACATGTACCACATGTGGTGCGAATGACAAAGAAACCTTGACCTTAAAATCAACTTTAAATTTTCTGCATCTACCTTTCCCTTTTAAACACGACTAGCTTTCCTTCATCACAGTAAATCATCCCTACAGGACGATGATGCAATCATCATGCTGGACTGCACAGATGTTAATTGGGTAAATTTAGGCCAAAAATACGTCTTTATATAAATCTGGTCCAAGACTTGGGAGTTTCTTGACCTGAACATCACTCAGGGGCTTTAAGATAATTCCGTCACAAGCTGTTTGGTGACAGATGGGTTCTGCCAACATGTTAAAGAACAGGGCTATTCCACTCGCAGCCCACGGGTGACGTCAGTCCGGCCCATCAACGAGTTCATAGGGAAAAAAAAATAAAATAAAATAAATAAATGGGGGAGGGGTCTGGGTTTGGGGTTCGGTTTATTGCATTTATGATTCAATGCAACAAAATAAATTTAAAAGCTAAGAGATCATTGTAATACTTGGTTTATTTACATAATGACTTTAATTTGTAAATGAGTCCTCGTGGCTCAATGAGACTAGCCTGTATAAATAAAGGTTGAATGAATCAATGAAAATTACTGGATGTCCGGCCCTGAGCTGCTGGCTTTCTGTAAAGGCTCCCACAAACTTGGGCAGTTGGTCGCGGAAACTGTGCGCACTGTGCGCACTGTCCGCAGACGGCTGAGACTTCATACTCGAACATACATCCTAACCGGTCGCAGCCAGCTCCGCAGGCAAGGGTTGTTTACCTTCGGGACAAATTGAGGTCGCAAATTGGTCATTTGCTGACACGCCTACTGAATTGATTAACAGGTTGCAAAAAAAAAACAAAAAAAAACGAGAGCTGGCAGCCCCAGCTACAGTGGTGTTCTGTATGTTGTTAATAAAAAGTTCTAAAAAATTTAAAAAACAGGGAGCGCTGGCCCTGCAGCCCACACATCAGACCAGCCCACCAGGAAATCTCCAGACAATCCCGCAGCCATGCTGGACCTGATTTTAATTCTCTCATGACAAATTCCTTAATTTCTCATAATTTCAGTCATGGCGTCAATGGACGAGGAGGAAGACATTGCTTGCCTCTTGGAGAAAAAAAAAAAAAGGCCATTAAACCAGATCAGGGATGTAGAAGGGGAATTTAATACATTGGTGTCTCATACAAAACAGTCCGTCACTGGACAGTTTATTGTGCGACACAGAGTATGCGTACGTAAAAATTGATTATTGGACGGACATGTCCTGCGGGCGTCTGCTTCGAGTCTAATCCGGTACGCGCGGACCGAGGTCCGAGCATGTGGGAGCAACTGTGGCCCCCTGAACAGTTTAGTTGAATAGAACCGTTATAGAGCCTGATCTGATGTTACCCAGACTAAAAAAACAAAAAAGTCCATGCTCAATAATCCAGGTACTGTTTTTCCTCTGTAACAGACAGCTTGCTGTGTACTGCACACAGCTGTGTCCATTTAGCATTGTGTCAGCACTCATAGCTGATCAAATTATTCTATGGCAAAGGTTAGGGTGACGCAGTAAAGACCAAGTTATAAGGTTTAACCTGGATTGTGAGTCACCATCACACCGACCCTCACACCTAACCTTTAGGTGTGGTGTGTCATCAAATACCCGTTAAGGACCCAGAGCAGGAAAGTGGAACCTTGCGCTTGAAGATGGAGGCAGTCAGGGATGTGTGGCAGCACATTCAGTGAGTAGCCAATCCCAGACTAGAGTCTAATCTAGGAATCTGTCGTTGGACAAGGTACAGAGAGACACGTTACCGAGGCGATAGGAAGACAACTCCTACGTGTCCATTTTACCACTTTTTTGTCTGTCCAAACAGGTCTCGCTTGTAAATGAGTCTTTTAGGCTCAATGTGATTTATCTGTTTAAATAAAGGTTGAATGAAAAGAAAAAAAAAAAAAACACTGCACGCGAGCACCAAGGAGAACAATAACTGGGAGAATGGACATCCACCTCACTCTGTCCTGAATCAATGAAGGTGATGTCCTTGCTGCTTTGTTTTGTTCTTTGGATCTCGTCTACACCTGACTGGTACCTGTTGTTGTCACGCAGACCGGTTGGTCTCACAAAGGCACAATTCCTAAACTCTTATTGTACCACGTGTACAGAATGAAAGGAAACGTATATTTAAAGTTCTCCGTCTTCATAAAGGAGATACAAAAATTATATATATGAAAAAAACAACAACCTCAAAACAATTTGACAAGTTTAGTATCACACAGTTAAAAATAAAATCAAAACACAAACCTTGATTGTTCCTTGACTGTTTGCAGCGATGAGAACGTTTGACTCCTACAAACAAAGTAATGTTAATACAGGTCAAAATAGTTTCTGCATGGATGGTGAGTTACCTGGAAAGCAAATATCATAATCTGTTCAAAACATTTGGTGATGTGACAAATTGTCCAGAACACAAACTCACTCCATCTGGCAGGGCCCTCCAGCAGACGGCACTGACAAACTCATTGGTGTCGTCTTCCTTCTTGTCCTTGTCCAGGACACTCTTTACCGTGTCAAACTTGAACGTTAACAGCGTCTTGGAAAGTCCTTTGTAGTACAGATACAAGGAGTTGTTCTCACTGCCTAAGATACAAAACCAAACACACATTGCATTGTTTTATTACGGTTACTTCAAGCTTATAGCCAGAAAGTATTTACGGCGCTTCACATTTTATGTTCCAAATACAGGTAGTATTAAATTGATCTATTTCTTCAAAATTCTACACACAATATCACATTATGACAATGTGAATAAAGATTTTTTGAAAATCTATTAGAAACTATGAAATCACATTTACGTAAGTATTCACACCCTTTGTTTAATACTTTGTTTATCCATCTTTGGCGGCAATTACAGCCTCAAGTATTTTTGAACATGATGCCTCAAAGCTGAGCACACCTATCTTTAGGCAGTTTGTCCTATTTTTCTTCGCTGTAGTTCTCATGCGCCATCAGGTTGGATGAGAGACGTCTGTGCAGCCATTTTTAGATCTCCCCAGAGATGTTGAATCTGATTCAAGTCGGGACTCTGGCTTGGCCCCTCCAGGACCTTCACAGAGTGGTCCTGAACCCACTCCTCTGAGATCTTGGCCATGTGGTTTGGGTCGTTGTCGTCTGAAAAATGAGCCGTCGCCCCATTCTGAGGTCCAGAGTGCTCTGGAGCAGGTTTTCATCCAGGATGTCTCTGATCATTGCTGCATTCATCTTTCCCTCTGTCTTGACTAGTCTGTTCCAGCTGCTGAAAATCATTCCCATAACATGATGCTGCCACCACCATGCTTCACTGTAGGGATAGTATTGTCCTGGTGATTACCTGGTTTCCTCCAAACATGACGCCTGGTATTCACACCAAAGAGTTCAATCGTTGTCTCATCAGACCAGAGAGTTTTGTTTCTCCTGGTCTGAAAGTCCTTCAAGTCCTTTCAAACTCCAGACGGGCTGACACGTGCCTTTTATTAAGGAGTGGCTTTCGTCTGGCCACTCTAACATACATGCTTGATTGGTGGATTGCTGCAGAGATGGTTGTTCTTCTGGAAGGTTCTCCTCTCTCCAAAGAGGAACACTGGAGCTCTGACAGAGTGACCATCAGGTTCTTGGTCACCTCCTTGACTAAGGCCCTTCTCCCCCAATCGCTCCGTTTAGACCAGGGGTGCCCAAAGTGGGGCCCCCAAGCTGTCCTCATTACTATATTAAAATTTCCTTTGAAGAATCAGTGTGTTTACACTCAGTCATTCCAAGTTTAATGTTAAATGGAAAGTTGGCCCAATGACTACTATAATGACACTACACAGCTGGTGTGACTAATTTGTGCATTATTTTTATTTTATTTTAATAATGTACATTTTTTAAAAATTCTCTGGGGGAGGACCATCAGACCCACCACCACTACCACCAGCACAAACACAGCCTGTTCTGTAATGTTCTTGATATAGAATGGAAGGACAAATAACTGTATAATAAATAAATGGACATTACTTAAAGAATTATTTGCATTTCATGTATTATATTATTGCATTTGACCCGCAGCCCTCTGATAGATTTTGAATTTGGCCCTTACAGGGAAAAAGTTTGGACAACCCTGGTTTAGACTACCAGTGTTTCCCCTACCATTATACAAGCGGGGCGCCCTGCCCCGTCAACAGAACCAAGCGCTCCGTCTACCGAACACCCCCCCCCACCCCAACCACCTGTCGGCACTGACGTAACGCTAAACTAGCGGCTCGCAATGCAGGTGCACTAGCTAACAAGCTAAAAGCAGCCTCTTCCTTCATGCTGAACCCTCACGCTGAACGCACCCCCGCCACTCGAAAACTGTCGGTACAAACAGCCCACGGCTCAGATGTGCGTCTGTCTGTCCCCTGCACCGACACCCCCTCCCCCGCCACAAAACAAAAACAGTCGTTCAGACAGCGCACGGCTAAGATATGTCTCCGTCTCTCTCCTCTCACACACCCTGCTCTAAAACAGTCAGTACAAACAGCACGCAGCTGTCTCTGTCCCCCAAAACTGTTGGTTTAAACAGCGCGCTGCGCAGCTTAGGACGAGTCTCCGTTCCAGCCCCCCACCCCCCAGACAAAAATCACAGACGAGATGAGCACCCCGCCATGGCAAGTTATCTAGGGGAAACACTGTACCAGCTCTAGAAAGAGTCCTGGTGGTTTCAAACTTATTCCATTTACAAATGTTGGAGGCCACTGAGCTCACCGGAACCATTTCTGTATCCATCCCCAGATTTGTTCCTCAACTCAATCCTGTGTCTGAGTCTACAGACAGTTCCTTTGGCTTCATGCTTGGTGTTGGTGCTCTGACATCACTGTCAGCTGTTAGACCTTCTATAGACAGGTGTGCGTTTCCAAATCAAGTCCAGTCAACTGAATTTACCACAGGTGAACTCCATTTAAGTTGTAGAAACATCTCAATGATAATCAGTGGAAACTGTATGTATCCGAGCTCAGTTTGGAGCTTCATGGCAAAGGCTGTAAATACTTATGTAAATGTGACTTCTTCGTTTTCTATTTTTAATACATTTTCAAGTCTTTTTTCATATTGTCATAATGGGGCATTGTGTGTAGAATTTTGAGGAAAGATATTAATTTAATACAATTTGAAATAAGGATGCAACATAACAAAATGTGGAAAAAGTGAAGCGCTGTGAATACTTTCTGAGTGCACTCCATTGCACTGCACTCACGCGCACACAAACATACACAAAATGCTACAACGTCAAGTTTTTTCCATCATTAGTTTCAAGGAGAATGCGTACCACAGGCAACATAGTCTCCATTGGATGCCAGCCCAACAAAGTTCTTCTCGTTGATATGGCCCTTGAAGGAGCGCAAGCAGTGAGGTTTGTTGACATTCCACAACTTCAGCTGGCTATCTGTCGACCTGGAAATCACAACAGTGTGAACAAGTACGATTTCACAGCATTTGGAAACATGACAATTTAACCCTCGAGTCTCAAATTGTTTTCAGTTCTCAAGTGAACTTGAGCTCTTACTATTAGAAAATAAACTCAAGATTTTAAGATTCTTATTGAGCGGTTCAAATTTGTAACCTGCTACAGGAAAAGTATTAGCCAAATAAAAATAAACCAATATCTGAATTTGAAGCATAAAACATTTGTGGGAGCCTAACTGACTGCAAACTAACAACATCATCAGTCATGTCAATGGAAACATTTTAAATATGAAAGACAAGCAGAAATACAGTGTAATATATAAATAGTTGAGTTTGCTCTAATAGAAATTTAATTTGAAAATCAATACACATGGAACATCCTAGCACTAGAATTTTAGTTAAATAGTTCCAAATTTTAATTCTGACAATAATTATTGTCAAATAAAACCCATTCAAAATAAACCTGAAGTGGCTTACGCAGAAACAATCTCTTCTCCATTTACAAACTTGGCGTAGGACACGGCCTTCCTGTGGCCTTTGAACACCATGATTGGCTGCTTAGTGTTGCGTAGGTCGTAGTAGTGGACGCAGTGGTCTGTGAGCAGCAGAGAAAATAGTAAGAGTGGGGGAAAATAAGGTTATGTTATTTATTGCAGAAAAAAATTGCATCTGCTATTTAAATCCATACAGAGATACACAGCTGTGTTAAAGTTCTGACAATCGTTGAGCTGTGATGAAACTACTGTTCTTAGCATAAAATGTGCATTTTTTTAAGCACAATTTAAATTATTAGGATGCTATGCTTGTTTTTGTTTTCTTTAGTCTTCTAGATTTGACCAACTCTAAGGTCAAAAAGTGGTTTCCTTTCCCAACTCTGAAGACCTCAGAGACAATCAGAAGCATTAAGAAGTCAGAACAATTCACAGCCAGCACAAAGTTCTGTTCTGATGGTTTGAGCTCTGTCATCAAGTGTTAGTGATCCAGAATACTTTCCTATGCAGAACTGAATGTTCACTAAATTCCTATTCTTCAATGGGCTAATAATAAACGGAGTTAGTCTGGACCACCAGAGTCTATGCACTAGAAATGTAGTATCTTTAAAGGGAAACTACACTGATGGGAGGAGAGTACCACAGTAATAAAACATCAAAACAAGAGGAAAACGAGTTTAAACTCCCGTTGGAACAAAATCTGGATCTTACCTGCACATCCAAAGGCCAGATGATATCTGGAGGTTGGGCTGAATTTAACACAGCAAACGTTAGCTTTGGCCTCGATACTAGCCACCGAGTTGTCAAGATTGGTTGACCACAACTTCACTGAAAGAAAAACAGAACTTTACACAAAGACAACAAGCGCAACAGAGCAGGGACTCTTCAAAGAACCTCCCTCAACCCAGAGCAACAGAAAAACACGTTGGCTAATCATTATAGAAAATCATGTGTCTGAAAAACCGAACTGAATAAGGCTGTTTGTAAGCTTTTTACCGTTTCTTTTATTTTTAAGTTACACAAAACACCCCGTCACTTGTCATACATAAACGCATTTAATGCACTAAATCCTCATCTTTTTATTAGTTAATAAACTTGTTCATGCAGAAAACATAATTTTGATTATCTTTGTGCAGGAAAAACTTTGCATTCCTACAATGATCACTTTAAGAGGAACATCAACATCTCAAATGTTGGCTCTGTACATTCCTCCATCTGCCAACCTGAAGTCAGCATGAGACATCATCTACACAGCTGCAAACGGAACACCCAAGTGCCCTCATCATTTTCTCAGGGGATTTCAACCAAGTTTACATGGACATAATGCGTTCAAAATTCACTCAATATGTCAACTGCAAAACCAGAAGGGAGAACCCTGGACCTGCTGTATGCTAGTGCCAAGGATGCAATTTTTGGCAGAGATATGACCGTTTTCATTCATTTTGACTGAAAAAAAAAAAAAAGAAGAGCAGTACCACTTTCAGCCAACTGATGGCAGCAGAGTAGTAGTAGCGGTAAGGCATGCCGTTGTATCATGTAATAGGTAAATGTGGCTATAATGACAAATTCAAAAAAGTTTAAGACAAAAACAACTGGATTTTATTTATTACAATTTATACATTGTTTTTTTTCTTGAACTTTTTTGAATTTACCATGTCCTGGATGACTGAGAATCTTCACCAGATATTAATGACACAATCGGCTTGCCATAATCTCCCCACCTTCATTCTGCTCACTGCTTGGAACCGTCGAATCAGCTGCACTGTCCCGTCAAAATGCAGCTAATTTGACCATTAAAGTGCATTTATGAAGTAAAGTTCAACTGAGACACACCTTTGATATAATTTCAAGCAAACAAGAAGTTGTTTAGGTGCTTTTCTTGTTAAATTTTGGAGAAATGAGCCGCTTTCCTCCACCTTTTTCGTCCCTCTGCACGCTCCCGGAGCACTGAGGCAGCAAAACTATTTTTGAAATGCAGCTGATTTGACCATTAAAGTGCATTTATTAACAAACGTTAGACTGAGACACACCTTTGCTATAATTTTGAGCAAACAAATAATTGCTTTGAGGTGTTTATCTTACTAAATTTGCACAGCGATTTGTTGCGTGCATGCATTTACTTCCGTGTATAGGCTTTGAAATGCAGCTGATTAGACCGTCAAAGTGCATTTATTAAGGAAAAGTTAGACTGAGGCACACATTTACTATAATTTCAAGCAAACAAACAATTGTTTTTAAGTGTGAATCTTGTTAAATTCTTGTTAATGTCCTCCTGTGCACAGTCCTGCAGCCGCCATTTGGCAGCCCATCGGTTTTTGGCACAGCCCACATTTCCGAGTTCAGCCCACATTTCCAGGTTGTCAGCAGTGATGCGTAACAAATGCGACGCGTCAAGGATGACGCATAATAGATGCAACGTATATGACGAAGCGACACATTTATGGATTTTTGCACTTTATTAGACAAATATTCGACTGATGCAACTTATAGGGCGGTGCGCCATGTACGGCGGAAAATATGGTAATTTAATATTTTTATTGTTATTTTTAAACATTTTAATCTACTTTATTCTTTTTATTTTCGCTCATGTGTATAAAAACTGATATTCTTTGTACGTTTACATTTTTAAACCCTTGCATGGTGCAACTGTAACAAAAGTCAATTCCTCCTATGGGATTAATAAATGATTCTGATCAAATTGGAAACATTTCCACAATAAAAGATCCAGGACTGAGAGAAAACTGAGTTATGTATTTACCTTTAGCATCATCAGAACCAGAGGCTAAGAGCTTGGGGTCCATTAAATTAAAGTCCACACTCCAACATCTTTTTTCATGTTCCTGAGGAAATGGAAATGTTTAAACTTTTGAAAGTTGTCAAGAAAAAACATGTTGAGAATTCTAATAAAGAGCAGAAATCAAACCAACATCAGAAAGATTTTAAAAAGCACTGCAGGTATCCCACCTGGTAGACTTTAGACCTCTGTCCAGTGAAGCCGTCCCACAAGATTACGGTGCCTTCATAATCACTACTGGCCAGAAGGTTTTTGTGATAACTGCTCCAGCTGATACAGCTACAACAAAAGAGAGTGATCAATCACTTTCATGTAAAGAATATGGACATAATTCAGGTTCTAATTTTAACATATCCACAAATATTCGGTGTTTTATTTAAAGTTAGGACTTGTATTGATCTGGACTACTGTTCAGACTCCCAACAGGTTATTGCATTGTAAGGCCCAGCCTAGCCCAGGCATTCCTCAGCTCTGCACAGCCTTGCTGATGTTGCATTTGGGAGGGATTGTTATAGCAAGAATACTCAAGGGTCACACTTTTTGCAACACCCAACAATAGAAAACATGGAGCTCATGCTATTCCTGTTCAGTCATTAGATAAAAGTTAAACCAGAGCCAAAATGACACCAATGCCCTCTACAAGAAAGGGCAGACTCGCCTTCTTCTTCTGAGGAGACTCAGGTCTTTTAACATCTGCAGGACCATGCTGCAGATGTTTTACTACTCGGTGGTCTCCAGCATCATTTTCTACGCTGTGGTGTGCTGGGGCAGCAGGGTGAAAAGAAAGAAAAGCTTTGCAGAACGTGGTGAAGGCTGCACAGAAGTCTGTTGGAGTCAGCCTCCCCACCATCACAGACATTTACACCTCCAGATGCAGGAAGAGGGCCACCTGCATCATGAAGGACCCCACTCACCCAGCACACACACTTTTTGCCCCGCTCCCCTCAGGCAGAAGGTTGCAGAGCATTAAGTGTAGAACCACTAGACAGAGGAACAGCTTCTACCCTGAGGCTGTTGGACTCATGAATCTCTAATTAGAATAATCACTGTGAAAAATCACATCATGTTGCTGCTGATCTGTTTCATGTTGCTGCTGATCTGTTTCAATGTTGCTGCTGATCTGTTTCAATGTTGCTGCTGATCTGTTTCAATGTTGCTGCTGATCTGTTTCATGTTGATGTGTTCATGCGTGCTCATCTGCTCACACAGACTCATGTTGATGCTGCTGTTCAACGTAATGTTTTTATGCTATTAGTGCTTAGCATATTTTTAGTTGATGTTTTTCTTAGTTCATATCTTAGATGTTGTTACTGTTTTTCTTTTACATTTTATTGTTGGATGTAACTGGGACCCTGTGTACAAAATTTAAATAAAGAAACTGACTCTGCTCTTGTATCACGAATGAAATTATATCAATTTTTAAAATATTGAGATATCGCCCAGCCCTACTTCATTATATGATTTGCTGTTTAAATCTGATAAGACCTAATGGATTCACAGTGCTCTGTAAAGAAAAAGCATTTCTCTTCACCTGATTTTGGAATTGCAGGTCATTTCGTTGACAGGGTAGTGGATGTCCACAGCATCCTGGATGACCGTTCCATATTCAAAAACCTTGATCTTCTTGGTCACCCCAGCAATAGCAAAGTAGTCGCAATCACGGTCAAACTCGATACTGAAACAAAGTAAAACAAGATGACGATGACTCATGCTTCTTATTTTGAGTACTTGAGCAATCTCTCAAAAAACTTAAAAACAGGAATTCAGGTTTCAGTCTTACAACTTAGTTCAGTTTTTCATACCTAGAGACAATACTGGAACCGTTATACAGATCACTGGCATAGGAAAGTGTGGCCAGTGGCCTCACGTTGTTGTACCGAGTGAATTTAGACAAACACTCCATAAAATCGTCCAGCTGGTTCAGGTTCCTGCCTTCATCTGAAAACAACAAACACAGCCTTAATGCACTTGGACTCGTGAAAAATATGTAGCAGAAGATAAATGCAGCACATTTTTCATGTTGTATTTCAAATTTGTTAATCATTTAACTCGCCCCTTCCAAAAAAACAAAACAAAGATAACCTTTTGTTTTTCTGAAAATGTAACACTTTATTATGATACAAACTAAAAGATGGTGTCATTTAACTTGCGCAGAAACAGACTAATCAAAAACATATAGTGAGAAGAAGCAGCAAGGACTTTGTTACGTTGATAACGGATTAAATAATGATGATACAACGTTAACTTCAGCAACACATACAAGTGCTACACATAATATTCTGTATGAAAGAGGTCTTAGCTGAGCTACATTTCCATCACCCCCAATGAAGTGGAACATCAAAACAGAAAAATGCATTTCTGGTTACAGAAGCTATTAACGGTGAGTACCTGTGATGCGAGACATCTTGTTAGAAAAGTAACACTGTTCCAGATCCTCAAAATGAGCCGTCAGTCTCTTTCTTCTTGACGCCAGAGTGCTGTTGTACCAGGTCTGCCGCTTCCCCTGAACAAACAGCCCCAAAGGTGCAGCTATGTCAGTGCACGGCACACAGCTTGTCAGAAATAAACTCTATAGATGGAGGTAACGTGAACACAGCATTCAAAACAGCATGAGTGACTGAAGTACCGAGGTTGTTGCACCGAACCCTGGAGGCTGGTTGTAATTGGTTGGCTCCATCATTCTACTGCAGTTGAAGCAAAAAAGTGAACATTAACGAACAGTGATTATTATTTAAAAATACATAAAAGAAACAAAAGCACAGTGAACATTATTGTGTGATGATGACTTCATAGCTGTAGACATTCTTCAAATGCAGATCAGCAGTACCTGGTGGCTGGAGAGGGAGCCTCGACGTTAGGCACTGTACACTCCGCCTCTATTATTGGAGAATAAATCCCACTCATTTCCTGACAAAACAACAGAAAAATCAATCGATTGCCAAGATACAGTGGTAACGATTTATAGTCCTGCTAGCTTTCCTTTCAAACTACGCTAATAATGGTTTGGAGAATACGTTCAGTGAGCGTTGAGAAGTTCTTTAACTTACCTCGACTCGTTTGATGTCTTCTTCGAGGAAGTTGAGCTCTTTCTGTAGTTGGTCCAACTGCTGTTGAAAAAGATAAAACACACAATGTTCGCACACATTGTTTTTTAAATAAAAGCATAGACTTCCTTTGGTTTTTGTTTCATTCTTATAAAAAAAATCTGCCATTACAGTTTCTGTTTTAGTATTGCAGTAGAGAAACTTCATCTTAGTACTGTATCAACGATACCTCTCTCTTGTTTCTCCTGGCTTCTTTCAGAAACTCTATGAGGATCTGTCTTTGAGCTGCTTGGGATTCCTAACACAAATAAAACATCATCAAACAAGGATAGAACCAACATTTGCTGAAATACTGAAATGTTACACGTTGTTTCTCTACTCTACAGGCCACAGTCATTTACTTTAATAGTACATTTCTATATAAACCTCTTTAACTATGTTTAGAAATAACATGACGACACCTTAAAATGCTGAAGAATTCTTAGTTAAAAGATTTGTGAGTGTCAAAAACAGCAGCTGAGGATTGCAATCTCCTACAGCATAATTTGAAAGCATGTCATTGCAAATCGAGCCAAAAGCAGTAAACCCAAGTTTGGACTCGAGCTGACAATTTGTTTCTTTTGTCTATTTCCACCAAGCCTTCATTTAAACACACACTTTGCACGCACAAATAATTTTACCCTAAAATTTAAACGACTGTATTAAAGCTGGTGATGAACAATCTGACAAGATAATCTGCCTAGTATGAAGATTAGGACTGTCTGCAGTTCGCACTCACCGGAGAAGATTGTGAGTTTTGTTTACAGTACACTGCATAAATACATGTATTCAAAATACCACAGAATGGATGGAAAGAGACATCCAGCAGCTTCTTCCATGTAGCAGAATCGGCATCTTTTATCAGCACACATTTTTACAGAACTCTGCAGAATTTGGTTTTGTGTTCACACATGGGAGCAAATCCTGATTCCCCAGACTTCTTTCTGACCAGTTAGCCTCTGCATAAAACCAGGAGTGACTACAGCGGGGACTCATTTGTTCTCCATATGGAACATGTCTGAAGAACGTCAGGACGACAGTGCATGTGTGGACATGCTTTTGTGTCCCTCTTTTTGTTCATAACGGTGTCAGGCGGTCCCCTCACACAACCAAAACCAAGCAAGCAGCTGAACTTTAACCGAATTTAACAATGGCAACCATTAAAAAAGTGCAATGTAGCAGCTTTCCTTGTTGCAAAAGCTGACAGTGACATGATTTAGACCAAAACAACAATCCCAGCTGATAATCTGACATGTTACAAACCAGGACATTTTACAGCTGAATCAAAACGTTTTCAATGTAATGCTGTGAACAAAAAAACATTTGATTTAATCTTAGACATTTATCTTTTGTCAGTTCAAATTACTTTGCATATTGATTAAATAAGTAATCTCAGCTCAGTTATCTAGTTTTAATCTTGTGTTTGTGCCAAGGAAAGTGGCGCACGGCTCTATCTGACATTGTGAAGCAAATGTCTTAAATGAGTGTTTTCTGAATTATTAAAATAAGGGTTAATGAACACAAGTCAACAGGATATACTGAGGCTCCTACTTCTCGTTTCACACAGAGTGACGAAACAAGACAGAAACAGGATGTGTCGGACATTTGAGACGGCACAAGGTTGTAATGCCACTGATCAGTGTTAACCTTTTGATAAAAGCATCAAGTTATTCATTCACCATTTAGCAACTCTTGCCTTTAGTCAATCCAGCCTGAGGGCACCCTCTCTGGCCATTTTCCTCCATTAACAGCATTGCTAACCTTTTGACAAGCAGCTGTTCATAAAGATCAAAGCAAAAGACTTATACCAATCCTCAAAGTAACAATACAACATAACTATAAGCAGCAACAATGTTCTCTAATGTTGATTAATAATAAAATAATTAGTAGAACGCTGCTGGTAAAACATTGTTGGAAACATACAAAATGAAGAGATCTGTTTAAAAAAAAAAAAACATTTATGTATAAGGCCTCTCAGTGAGAAGGTCAATGGATCAAATCCCAGCCAAGGGGCCTTTCTGGGTGGAGTTTGCATGTTGTCTCTGTGCGTGTGTGGGTTTTCTCCAGGTACTAAAGGTTCCTCCCACAGACCAAAAACATGCATGTTAGGCTGATTGGTAACTCTAAATTGTCCCTAGGTGTGAGTGAGAGAGTGAATGGTTGTCTCATTTGTCTCTATGTGTCCCTGTGATGGACTGGAGACCTGTCATGGGTGTCCTCCACCTCTTGCACGGTGACAGCTGGATATGGGCACCAGTGACCCCCATAACCCGAAAAGGTAGAAGTGGTAAAGATAATGGATGGATGGGAAAATGTAAAAGGAGCAAAGTTCATTTTTGAGAGGATTATTAAAGTCCTGGCCTTAATCCAACAGAAATGCTGTGGAAAGTCGTGAAGCTTGCAGTCCACATCCTGGAGCTGAAGCTGTTATTTATGTACAACACTGATCAAATATTTCCTCGACTGTTTGGCTGCAGCACAAGGAGACTATATCTGATACTGAAAATACATTTTCTACACTTGTCACTCAAAAATAAATAATCTCATGAAGTCAAAAAGTAAATTGGCATGAATATTTTTATGTCTGTGGTTTAATTATACTCATCTCAATTTGTGAAATATATACAAAAATAAGTTTACATCAGATTAAACTAGGAAAAATCAGAATGATTTAAAAACATAAGCGTATTATGTCACACGTGTTCAGTTTTACTCAAATTGAAATCTGCAGGTCATCTGCTCTTCCATTCACTGTGGAAGCAAAAGGAGTTTCCAAACTCCAGGAACCAGTTTTACAGTTCTTTACCAATCTGGAGCGGTAATGTTCTTATGTGTCCAGACTAATGAAACTCAGAATCAGTGTAGCCTGTGAAACTGTCTTCATTTAGCTCCTCCGTCAGAGAACTCTCCAACTGCTTTTAACATTCACCTTAAAAATGCAGGTAGAACACAGCTACGCCACTCAATTATCCCTTTTTTACAGCACAGACACTTCAGCACCAAGTGAATGTTCACAGCAGAAAAGTATTTATGCTAACATTCACATGTGAAGACTGAAAAATGGATTAGATGATACATTTTTGAAACTTGCAAATGCACCAAATTCACGGTCTGGCAATGTGTTAATATAATCTGCAAAGATCATTTTATCACTCCTATATTTTTTCTGGAAAAATCTTAACAGCATTTAATTTACAATTAGCCCTATTAGTAGGTGAACTCTATATTCAGTATATACTTCCTCCCCAACAAGGAATAACCGCTACAATCCACCTGTCTCTCTGTTGATTATCATTGTAATCATCATCATGGAATGTCAATCTCTGTTGGCAACAAAAAGCATTCAGTTACTTACCGCCTCCAGCTGCTTCTTCTTCTGAACCAGAAGTTCCAACATCAGGTTGACGTTTGCGAGGTCCATGTTCTCCTGATCGGGATTCAAGATATCCTGGAAGACCTGCCACGGAGACCAGTTCTAGGGGTCAGAAACAGTAATCATTTAAAAATAATAATATGGTAAAAAAAAAAAATAATAGTAATAAAAAAAAGTTTACGAGTTTAGCAGAGTCACAGAAAAAAGTTTAGAATGAGCTTAACTTACATGAGGTTCTAACTTCAGCCGCTTCTCCTCTGACCTTTGTTTCTGTTTAAGGATCAGTTCATTTACTGGAGGATCACAGGTGGGGCCGTGATTGTTGGGGATGTGTGGGGGGAGACAACAAGGACAGGGCATGAGAACCAACTTTGGGCAAGAAAACATTTATTGGATCATGCTGCTCCTTTGGTTAATGTGCCTTAATACTGTTCAACTTTCTTCCGTCTCATTAGCCACTTATGTTAACAACTAAAGCTAGCTGGTTAGCCAAACTATCAAAATGACAGCACCAACTTAAAATACCCACCAAGAAAGTTTGGAAACAGCTGATCCACGCTGTCAACAGTATAGTTACACTTGGGACACCGATTGCTGTCCTCCAAGCTCTGGCGAATACACTTGAAACTGCAAGAGGACAAGAAGATACAAGAAGAACAAGATATTTGAGTAATCTCATTAGAATATGGATGAAAAGACTGATATGCAACACCCTGACCCTTCTGAGATCCAGATGAACCTACCAAAAGCTGTGGCCGCACTTTGTCATGTGAGCTTCCTCGATCATTTCGAAGCAAATTGGACTGAAAAACAAACAAAGTTGAATCATATTTCACACAAACAGCTCTGCCGCATCACTGATGTCGGAGTTCAGACTAACCAGACAAAGTCGTTGCTTTTATCCTCGTATGAGTTGGAGAGGCCGTTGTATAAAGGTGCTTGATGGAGGGACCTCTTCCTGCTGCTTCCGGTCGGTCTGCCCTGAGGAACAAACCCGGACCGGGACGGCGGCATCGCGGTTGGCACCGACGAGCCTCCCTCGCCGGCTGCTGCCAAAGTCCGGGATGTGGGCACAACATTTCCCGAAGAATTCCCATTACTAGTTACGGAGGTGCTTCCACTGCCCCCGGTGCCGCTGCTACTGGGGCTAGGCACCGAACTTGCCCCCCCACCGCTTTGCTGCTGCCGGCTGCTTGACATCACGCAAGGGACCGACTTAAAAACTCCACCAAAACCCGCTGCGTCTCTCCTCAAAGCATCCGTACAGGCTACAGCGTTACCGTTTGCCTGCTTTAGCACATTAGCTTGCTCGCTGGTGTGCTAGCATCCTGGGAGAGCAGCAACAGCAACCCAAACATTTAAGAAATAGTCTAAACTTACTCACTGCAGTCCGCCTCGCGACCTGTACTGACGTTTTACAAAATCACTGGTTTATGATTAGCAGAAATACGCCAAACACATACGCTAATACTGTTACGGACAACAACCACGACTGCGTTGTCCAGGAGATTAGCTCGATGGCTGCTGTTAGCTGCAGAGAGTGAGCTCCTGAGCGCCGCCGTGCTTCTCTGTTTTCAACTGCCGCCCCCTGGCGGCCAGGAGTAGGAGGCGCAGGAAACACCACACACCTGCCAACTGTTTTAGAACGCACATTTAAAACAGCAGCTGATACCTGAGTGCTTAACAAGAAAATTAATGGGTGTAATTTCATGGGGAAAAATAAAAACAATGTTAGTACTGAAAATTAATTAAAAGCATCAAAATAAAACCAGAAACGCAGATCAGTAAAATACTAACTCGAGTCACACTGTGTAAAAAGCCAGGGAAAACATCCATCCATCCATTATCTTTTACCCGCTTCTTCCATTTTGGGTCACGGGGGTCGCCGGTGCCCATGTTCAGCAATCACTGTGCGAGGGGCGGGGTACACCCTGAACAGGTCTCCAGTCCATCACAGGGACACATATAGAGACAAACAGCAATTAACTCTCTCACTCACACCTAGAGACAATTTAGAGTTACCAATCAGCCTAACATGCATGTTTCTGGTCTGTGGGAGGAAACTGGAGTACCTGGAGAAAACCCACGCATGCACGGAGAGAACATGCAAACTCCACCCAGAAAGGCCCCCGGACTGGGATTTGAACCAGGGTCGTGCTCAGCAGCTCTACCAGTTGTTCCACCGTGCTGCCCCCCAGGGAAAACAGATGTGTTTTTAGCAGAGATTTAAAAACAGGAAGGGAAGTGGACGGTCTAATGTTGGGGGGCAGGTTGTTCCAAACCAGTACAGTACTAAAAATACATTTTAATAATTTAAAAATAATTTAAAAATATTTTTATATACTGTATGTCTGTATGGGCATGTATGACCCACACCTGCCTCCACCCTCATGTCCATGGGTTAAACCAGCTGCCAGCTATTTAGAAAATCTAAATGCACTGTCTTAATTGACCATTCTTTTTTTTTTTTATATAATTAAAAATAATGAAAAACTAATAATCAGGGCATGTGGGGGATGATAGGTTTGTTTACTTTTGAAAATGGACAGAGGGAGGAGTGGTGGCGCAGAGGCTCGAGATGGTGGGCCTGTAATCGCAAGGGCGCCGGTTTGAATCCCCGGACAGACAACATCAGAATGTGAATGGGAAAGGTGAAACACCCAGACCTGCCTCCACCCTCATTTGCTCCACTCTGGGCCCTTGAGCAAGGCCCTTAACCCCCACCTTCTGCTCCCCCAGGCGCCCTAGATAGCAGCTCTCTGCTCCACACAGAGGGCTGTGGTAGCTCCGTGGTCTGTGGTTACATCACATCCAGCGTATAAACAATTGCCAAGTCTTTATGCCGCTGTGGCGACCCCTGAAGAAGAGAGCAGCCGACAAATGAAAAAACAAACAAACAAAAAAACAGGTTTTAACATGAGGCTAAAAGGTCCTTACTGACAAATGGCACTTATTAAACACAATAAGTCAACAAATATATGTCAAACATGCTGCACAAGAAAAAAATAATCCAACTTTGACCTCTCTAAGGGATTTTAAACAAGTGTTAAGTTCAATGCAAAGATAATGCAGACATGTTCCTGTTTTTAGTATTTACCTCATTTCATAATGTAGTTTGATTTTTATTTTGTTTTATATCACTGATTTTATTTACTTTTTAAATTTTATATGCATTTTATGGCTGTTTATTAATGTGTACCTCTTTTTTTGTTGTTGTTAAAATCAGGTCTCTCTTGTAAACGAGTCCTCGTGACTCAACGAGACTAACCAGATTATATAAAGGTTGAATGATTTAGTACGCCCAGCAGCACTAAAAATATTACATAAAATGTTTTTGAAGTTTTCATTGACCTCTTAGCTAAACTTGGTAATAAAATAGTATACTTTGACCATCAAGATATGATATCAATGACCGATCTTTTTGCTGTAAAGTTTTATTTTAGCTCGTGAATAGAATGCTTTAATTGCTCTGACATGAAACACAAGCAGGCCGTGAGTGTCTGAGCCAACACACACAGAGCTGTGTCTTTAGGCATCCACCTGCAGCTCTGCAAATAAAACCAACACATTTACACTCCAGTTTATTCAACCTGCTACTTGTTTTTCCACTTTTACCTCCATGTGGACAAATGGGGTGGGGGTGGGGTGGGGGGTCCTCCATGCAGGCGTGCAAGACATGGATTTTCCCGTGTATTTGTTTGTGGAAGAAATTTATCATAGTGGAGCTCAGTTGGGTTGTGCTTTTTCCTTCGTTTTGCCCCCTTTTCAGCAGAAGGAAAGACAGATAAAGGGTTGACTTCACTGAAAAACGACCACCGTGGCTTATTTTTTCAAATCTTTATGAGCACAACTGAGTTTTAAAGTGGAGAGAAATGAACTTTTTAAGGCATATTTGCAATAAAAAAACAACAACTGTGGAGCACTTTTCACATTAAGTTTCATTCATCAACAGCCTCTGAGCAAAACACCTGCAGGCAGTGGTGCAGTGGTGCAGTGGTGAGCCCTCAGCTCGTCTCCTTAGTTTAAAACTGCCCTCTTCTTTCTCATCATGTGTCCCACACAGCAGCATGGATTCTTCTTTCTTTCCCTCTTTTGTGTGTGTGTGTGTGTGTGTGTGTGTGTGTGCGTGTGTGTGTGTGTGTGTGTGCGTGTGTGTGTGTGTGCTTGGAGAATGTGTGCGGTGGTGTCAACTGGGTGGATGTTACAGAGGCACAGAGGTCAGAGAGTGAAGTGAAGTTGTGTGTGTGTGTGTGTGTGT